CACCAAAATCCAGCCCTATGGGAATTTTTCCGAAGTTAATGTCTAATTTGACTGGGCTAAGGACAGGTACGAGAACAAGCGCCTGCTCATCCATGCCTGCCTGGATAAATTATTCGCCAGCTCAACCCCGGTGCCAAGGAAGGCGGCGTCCTTGGATCGACTGATCTCGGGAGTCAAGGAGGCGCTCAAGGGACTGGAGGCCCTCGAGGTGACAGACAAGCTCGGAGACTGCGCTGTGGTGTACCACGTCACGCGCCTCCTGGATCGCGCGACACGCGAGCAGTGGGAGAACTCTGTTGGCGCCACGCGCGACTATCCCACATTCACGAAGCTCGAGGAGTTTCTTACGACTCGTATGCGGGCGCTCGAGCGGATAGAGAGTACGACGGCTCAACCTGGCTCCAGCTCAGCACCTCCACCAACGAAGAAGACGGCTGCTCATCAGTCTGCTCATCAGGTCGATACATCATACCCGTGTGACTGCTGCGGAGCGCAGCATTTCATAGTGATGTGTAGTAAATTCCGGGAGCTACCACCATCCGAGCGGCACACGGTGGCGATACAGAAGCGGTTATGCTTCAATTGCCTGGGCCGTCATAGTGTGCGTGCATGCAAGTCTCAGCGAGGCTGTAAGACCTGCTCAGGGAGGCACCATACAATGCTGCACGGCACACAGACAACCGCATCGTCAGCTCAAAAGGCCGGTGGTTCATCGGTCACGCCCTCAAATTGAAAGGTCGGTGCAGTCGTCGAGACCAACTCACACGTCCGCTCATCCTGCTCGACTCTACTCGCCACAGCCTTGGCACTAGTCAGCTCATCGTCAGCACATCACTCAGCGCGTCTGCTCATCGACTCAGGATCCGAACTCTCCTTCGTCACGGAGAATCTCATTCGGCAGCTCAACATCCCTCGTCAATACTCAGGTATTGTCGTCACTGGAATTGCAGGCAAGGAGTGTACTCGGACACGAGGAGTCGTGTCACTCACGTTACGCTCGACACATTCCAACGCAGCTGCCACAATTCAAGCTCATGTCCTCCGGACAGTTATATCAATCTTACCATCGTTCGAGGCGGAACCGGAAGAATGGCCGCATCTCAAGAACTTGGCATTAGCCGATTCTGATTTTCTCATCCCGCGGCCAGTTGACATCCTCATCGGCGCAGACGCTTACGGGCAAATCATCAAGCCCAATATCATTCGGCATTCTCCACTCATGCCGATAGCGCAACTCTCCATTTTCGGATGGCTCGTTCTTGGACCAGTCAATAGGGAAGCAACACGCACATCAACGCACCATGCTTCTACTCACGTCAACGAGGATACTCTCAACGAGTTACTGACAAAATTTT